GAGGGGTGCTAGGATTGGGGAAAGGGAGGCCTTCTCCATTAACTACATAATTTTTAAAAGTAGAAGCCAATTTTGCTCGACCATGGGATTCAATCCAATGGAATGTCTGTTTTTTTTTTTGCATAACCTTAGGTACTGCTATGTATTTCAGTATTTCTATGACTACCTCCTATATGACAATTGCCTAAATTTCACTGGAAACACAATAGAATCCATGTCTCCTTTAATGCCCAGCTACCACACTCTCTTCCTTTGTTCCCGAGGGTTGTCATGGTCATCAAGTTTGACAATGCTGCCACTAGATAAGGCCAACCCTCTAAACCGCCCTCTCCCATCTCCGATGAGAGCTTTCTATGAAACACAAAGAAATCACATAGTTGAGCAGTCAATTATGATTTGCGGAGATCATGGTCACCTAAACTTTAGCAAATGCACATATTTTAGCAACCCAACCCAGATGATGGTCAATTTTGCTTTGAATGATGTAAAATGACATGATAGTTTATATTATGTGTGCAATGTCATTTCAGATGAAACCGCCTGTCACTAGAGCATAATACCATGGCCCAACATTCTATAGAATGATGAAACATAGGATTGTATTATAAAGTAAACAGAGGAGATCAAATAGTATATAAGATAAAGTTATCTATTATATACTTCACAAACAATTTATAAGATTTTTTATAGAGTTACCATGCTTATATTGAAAGACACATGTGGCAACTAGAATGATCCATGGACAAATGCAACCCATTACATCGAATAAGACAGATGTAAATTTAGAATTACAAATTTTCTCATATAGAGCAGATGTAAACCCGAGTCTCTCCCAGCGGTGGTCGAGTCAAAACCCTAGCCCCTATCGCCGTCTCTTTCCCTTCTGCGTTGTAGGAGTCTTAGCAGCTAGAGCGTTGAGGTGGACCTGGACAAAAAGCACATCGATGGAGGTTGGACACAAAGGCGGCGGCCCCAACATATCTTGGTGGTGGACATGTCGTTGCGGTTGTGAGGGAAGTGTTACGCTCGAACGTGGCATCTGCGGAGGTGGCACTAATTTGCGGTGGAGACTTCTCATTCCGTAATTCGTGGCGACAGTGGATCTTCTTGGTTCCTGCTTCCCGGCAGCAGTGGCGGCAACGCATCCTCTTGGTCCCTGGAAAGAGGCGAGTTGCAAACTTGCGTGTTCATGCATGCCGGCTAATTTGCTCCCGGCATCGCAACTTCAGGATGTGGCTCCTCGTTTACTATAGTTGGTGAAGTAGATGTGACAGAGAAGAAGAGAGGCCAGAACTTCTTACTCTTCTTCATCTCGCTATTGTTGCTTTCCAACTCCTCCCGCCGCTCATCCCCTCACGTCGGATGTCATCAAATGGTCCACTTCTAGGGTTACATGCCGAATATCCGTAGGAAATATTTCGCCGTTTACTACTACCATTATGTTCATGTACAAGAGTCACTAATTAACATCCTAACCGGCCCTAATATCCTTATCATTAACTTCCGGGGAACCATATTCAAGTCTCATCTTTTGCCCTTCCGTTCTGTTAAAAGCATGAGAGTGCATTTCAAAAGAACATCCAAAAATGAGAGTGGGAGTGGGTGTGGGTGACTGTCAGCTCGTTCTGTCTTCAGACGTTTTGGTCAAGCATGTACCAGCACAGGCAGAACAGAACCCTCTTCGCTTGGACATAATTAAGCACCCGACTTGTTTTGAACTTATGATCAGATCAATCCTGTATTATTACATTCTCTTCGATAACATCAGAGGACACACTTACACTGCCATATGGCTGGCTGGTCAGGTCGTCTTGGTCCGTCCGTCGTCCTGCGTCGAGAAAAATACAGAGATCGTTACGAACACGAAATGCAGAACTCGCAAAAAGGTACCACCTGCAGAAGACGATGGCCATCCACACTGATCCGATCGGACTAGCCTGGTGAATCATCCTCCCGGAACAAACAACAATGGCGTGGGAGCTGACGGGACGAGGGAGATGCTACAGTGTCTGAAGCGCGCGAACATGAAGAACTGAAGATGGAGGGAGGCATGATATATAGAGAGATAGCAAAAGCCGCCATGAAGGATACGGAGTACAAGTCATGTGTGAACGACGGAGACGCCGCGCCGACTGCGCGCGCGCGCGGATCGGACGCGGAAATCCCTGCGATGCTTCCATCTACTACTAAACTGTAAATAGAAGATAATCCGGAGAGATTAAAGCGAACCGCGTGGGGACAGGAGGAGAAGACTGGACTGCGCTGCTGCGTAGGACGGGGGGTTTCTCTTCATTTTCCATCCTGTTTCCGTGGGGTTTTCTGGGGATGTTCTCGGCAACTTTTGGTCTGACTTTACATATTTCATCGAGTCGAGATTACCTAGAGGCTAGAGCTAGCTCGGCTCCAAATCCTCCAACGGAGGAAGATTCGAGCATTTTTTTAAAAATAAACAAATAATACATTCTTCCTGGAAAGTTGAACGGAGCTTCGAGCATTTTTTTCCCCCCTGGAGACTTTTCTTCGCTAGCCTTGCAGAATACAACCCGTAAGTTCTTTCTCTCTTTTTTTTTCAAGAAATTTCTAATATATTCATCTTCAATCATCGCACTATAAAGAATATCAGAAATAAAATAAATTACATCTAGATTCGTAGACCACCTAGCCAGTGGCGGAACTTGACAGGAATCTAAGGGGGGCCAAAGCGAAAATATGAACAACTAGAAGGGCAAAGAATTGATTTATTACTTATCTAAGCCATGCATAGTAAATTTTCTTCATTGTTTTGAATAGGGATGGGGCCACTGCACCTAGCCACGACTATAAGTACTAAGTTCTTTCTTCACTAGTAAAAAAATTAAAAGGATTCTTTTTGTGAAGACAGTAAAAAAGTAAGATGAAGCTTAATGAACTAGCCAATTGGAAAGATTAAATGGCACAACGAATTGGACGTCAACATTCGGATCTTGTGAGAACTAATATGTGGTTGAATGGTTAGGATGATGGTGGTCCTCCACCAGGAATCAAACACAAGGGTGGCGCTTTGGTCTCTGATAAAGGACAAATATTTCCCTCAGTGGGAGGCGATATTCTCATCGATAGGGAGACGTCTATGGTGACTTGGTCATTTTTAAGACCCGCAAGCTCAACCTCTCGAAGCTGGTCATAGGGCTATCCAAATGTCGGATGCAACCGTCAGATCTGACAGCACGAGGCCACATACCGACGGTGCTCCGTCCGAAGAAGGGGTGGAGCAACGCCGGCGAAAATGGCAACACCAAGACGCAACCACCAAGGAACCAATGGAGAGCACGACGGCGTCGCTCGGTAGGAAGAGGCGCACCAACAACTGAGGGGTAGATCGAGGAGGGAGCCTCGCCGCTACCGTCCTTGAAGGTCGTGCTGACGGAGATTTCAGTCAGCCGCGAGGGGGCGAGGGGATGGGGTGATGAGGGCAGTCACAATCATTGTGGAGCATCTTTCCACTCAGGGCTTTGTATTTCATCTATGTTACACTCTATTAACCAGTCAAATAGTGCTGCGTCATTAGCACACGCTCTCTCAACCCATGCAGGCCCCGCTTGTCATGGAGGAAAACACCCAAAAGGACACGTGAGATATGATAATTATTAAGGAAAATAAGCAGCACATTGAAAAGGTAGTAAAATAACCAAGAAGACATGAGTTCAGGAAAAAAAAACACTCTGATGCACAACACGTGCTTCACACGTTTGTTTTATTTTTCGGTCTTAACAATAACTACTTCCTTCGATTCAAATTAATTTTCGCTGCTTTAGTACAAAGTTCTACTAAAACAGCGTTTCTCCTCTAATTTTTTTAAAGGTGGTGTTTGGTTGGTCTGTGGATTTTCTGAAAGCTGCTGTGGGAAATCTGTCGCGGAAAAGCAGCTGCAAACTAGGTGCTGTGAGAAAGCTGTAAGCCGTTTGGCAAACTATGATTCGCACGGGTGATTAGACTTGAGCACTCTGAACTTGGACCGCTGGCGCATAAGAAGACTTGTTTACACCACCTATAAGTCCCGATCAACACCCCCACGCAGGAGTAGAGAAAATGGGATCTGTACTCGTTCCTATGCATTAGGTTGGTCGTACTCACATCACCTAGTTTGCAGCTGCTTTTCCACAACAGATTTGCATCTCGAGATGAGATCCATCTCAGAGAGAGCAGCAATGAGAGCCGGGATCTCGCCAGGTCGAAGCGTCTCCTTCTGAGATCTTGACCAAAAGCTTCAGCCCAGAACACGGTCTGATCGATATCTATCCCGAGCATCAACGGCGACCTTCGTCGACGACGGTGCCGGCATCGGCTAGTCAGTCAGTCCCAACTCAGGTGAACTCTGCATCCATGCCTGAATTAATGTGCTCTGCCCCGCATCTCTGTTATACCATGGCTCAACTAACTGATGCATCTTGTGTTCTTGCTTGCTTTCGCAGTCGCAGATGGGGCAGCTGAGGATGAGAGATTGTGGTGTCGATCTGTGTGGCCTTGGTGCAGGAGGAATGGAAGCTCTGTGGTATTTAACAAACTGAAATCTTCTACAACTATTCTAATCTGCACAGCATACTGTATATATGAGTGAAAATGTGTGAACACACATAGGAAGAAATCAACTTAGAAAATTAAAGGATGGATTAGCAGGATTATACCAAGCAAGTTCTGCAACTTAGAAAAGGATCAAGGATGGATTAAGAGGATTGGACAAAGTTCGTCAATCGATATGAATATTCGCTCTAGGTATTCAATACAAGCCACATGTTTTCTTGTTCTGAAAGGTTTGCTTTTAAGAATACAAGCCAAATGTCTATTTACAACCAATAGCAAATTCAGCAATTACTGACCAATATTGCCTATTAGAACTCACAGCACTATCAATATTTACAGACGAAATGTTTAATCACACTGAATACTGTAATCAGCGACTGCCACCATCATGTTTAGTCTAGTAGAGGAAAGCCTGTTGCAGCGGTCTCAGGTTTAATCTATCACTGGTTGCCGCCATCATGTCCATAACCATCAGATGGGCTGTTGGGATTCGGCAGTTCTGCTGAAATGAAGGAAACACAGCATTAGCGCACGGATCGAGAGGAACATCTTAAATCCAGGCCCAAATTTGACTTTAAGCAACAGTTTGGTAGTCATCAGCCAAGCATACACACTCCAGATTTTATGAAGGTAAACATCAATTTAATATCATCCTAGATTGAAATGGGAAGAGTTCTGATTGTAGAAGATGATTGCAACAGAGGTTATCGCTCCGGCATTGAAAATTGCATAAGTTATCGGCTTTTCATTGTGGTCACCATGGGTATTGAAAATTCAAAATTGCATACCGTCATTAGCTGGTGCAATGCCATAGTCTGTCAGATTCAGATAGTCGGTTACATCCAGGCTGCTGTAGTCCTCGAACTGCAACAACAAACACCATCATGACATAACAAAAGGAAAAAAGGCTAAAGCCATATGACTGCTACATACTGATATATTGTACTTCAGTCAGTACGAAGATACTTATTCAAAGGAACACATACTGGAACTGGGGAAAACCCACTGGACATGTCAGCCAGAACAGGGTCAAGTGAAGGGGTTCTCTGGTCAGTTTGATTTGCACCTGCGATCATGTCATCCTGTGGAACCTAGCATCCATGAAACAATTCAGGTTGTCAATGAAAAATTGCAGGATGGAATTTTTGATTGTGCCATAGGTAACTTTACTTACTGGTGAAAAATTGTGGGGCGGAATAGTGGACTGTGCTGATAATGGTCCCTGATCATTTAAGATATTTCCCTGGTGAAGAGAGTAAGGAGCTCCATTCTGTGGCACAGAAGGATTGTGCTGGCCAAGTCCTACAGCAAGTTGATACCCAAGACTATCATAAGCAATAATAACAATAATACTAATTTTAATGCGATGGAGCAGCAATTACATTATGGAGGATGTGTGATACAAAACTATGCAGGTGTTTAATATTGACCTTGATACGTGTGTTGTGGAACGGGCAGTGCTCCTTGGTTTGATGGGTCAGCGTCATTGTTTGACAGGACTGCGGCCCGTGAGAACCCATTCAGTGGATGCTGATCACCAAATTCTGCAATAAGTTGAATTTAGAGAAACATGTAGCACAACAAAGATCAGCAATGGAACAAAGTAAACCTTGTCGTGCAGCCATGTCATTAGGATATTGCAATTTGGTTCTAGCTTGTACAGAAGTACCTGCATCATTGTTCAGAGGCATTGCACGGACAGGGATGCCATCGGTCATGAAGTAATCAGGGGTAAGACCCCCTGAGTTCTCCCGCTCGTCAAATTTCTTATACGTAGACATTTTCCAGTTGTTCACTTTAATCTGTAAAAGAATATTTTATTTATGTCATCACCGTCATAATGTGCAAGCACATGCTTTTACTTATTGTTTTGTGTACAGAGAGGCATCAATGCTCAGACCTTTATGAAACCATCTAATCATCAAAAAGGAAAGTAGGATGCCAATCTTTTGGTGACAATAGTGTTTATATTTTCTCTCATCATTTTAAGGATTTTCAACTAAGTGCACTAGGGTGGTGGTTAGATCCTCCCTGTGTTTCAGTGGGTTTACACGGTGCGAGCACAGAAACACCGGAAGGTGGCAATCCAACTGCTCTATATATTTCTTCTAGGTTTCTAGATATCGGAAACAAAAAGAAAAATACTAATTGAACAACTACACATTCTTCATCACCAATGCATATGCTTAGGTAAAAATAAACTTTGCAGTAAAAACAGAGGCTCGACATAAGAATTTGTTTAGAATCCATGCCTTGGTCCTAACTTACGTACAATAACATCATTTGCCCTGTTTTAGTTCAGCAATGCCAGAGTTAGGTTAGTCAATAGCTATTCACAATGACATTAGGAAGCAGTATAATTTCCAAACGTAAATCTTGCTATAAACCTTGTAACCGTGACAACATTTCAGGGACAATTGCCAGAGTACTGTTATCTTAGTAAATCAACAGCCTAATTGTGATGGAAATGGAACAGTGTCAAAAGAATACCTGCTGAAACTGATCAAGGCAATTGACAGGAAAATATAATCCACTGATCATCATACCAACAAGATTATAGAAATCATTGAATAAGAGTTTAGTATTTTCCTCAACAATAAAAGAATAGATCTCAAGCCCAGGATCAGACGTGGTGGCATGTTTAATCAAGGTACTCCAATCCTCCTTCATGTCAAGAAGCTAATTGCCAGAAATAAAGAGTTGACTTAGCATTTAATTACATGTAGTGCACATGAATACATATAGCATTGCATGTAGTCAAAGTTAATCCTAGGAGATGCGGGATATTTTATTTCCGATCCATGACAATTATCCCTCTGTTCCCAAATATAAGTCTTTCTAGAGATTCCCATAAACGACTACATACGGAGCAAAATGAGTGAATCTACACTCTAAAATATGTCTATATACATCCGTATGTTGAAGTCTATTTGAAATGTCTAAAAAGACTTATATTTAGAAATGGAGGGAGTATTAACTAATATCTATTGCAAGTAATTTGAAACGCTGAGGCTTGTAGAAACATAATTACTATAACTGTATATTTACCTTTTGGAGACCAGATTCATCTCTGTAATAATGACGCATGAATTGCTTCACCGTAGTAATATTTTTTTCAGCAAGGATAGTACAATGTTTTCCCTTTAGGGAAATCTTCTCCAAACGGTATACCGCTTCTTCTTTAGATGGAGGATAACTCTTTCTGTTTTCTGAAAGTAAACAAAAATATTGGATGTGTTAAGACAAGATTGCTAATATGCAATTGGTTCACCATGCTTATTATTAATCTACGACCTAATAGATGACTCAAAACAAAATATGTAATGACCCAAGAAAAGTACGGTCCAACTCCCAAATCTAAGTGACAGTACTTCATACAGTTTTGCCAGGTTCAAAATAGCGCTAGGCATAGGTGAGGTGATTGGCCTTCGCTTAGGTGGTCATACAGTTTTGACTATCATGGTGTATTTGAGTACCATAGGCCGTCAGTGCAATATGGCCTGATCTCTCGCTGGAGTTGACGATTTCTTGCTTGGCCCGTCTAGTCCTAGACTTCCGTTTATGCCATAGGCGAGGTGCCTGAGCATCTCCTTTTTGAACCGAACTTTGTGCCGGAACATTCCCTTCTCAAAGTAGAACATTTAGTGCTAGGACTTCATATTTTCAAATAAAATAATGTCACTGCACAAGACCATAAAAGTTTCTGAAAGATATGATATGTGCTTTAACATTTTTTTACTTAAAATCAGCAAGCATGTTCTTCTGCCAACTATGCAAACAGTAAATGTTTCATTGAATGAGAAAATTACAGAGTGTACTAAAATTTCCATGTAATATAGTTAAAAAGGTTTGATGTTCAGAATGGACAATTGGATATACTCACGTTTACTTCGGCCGACTTTGACAACAAAAGGATCAGTGATTGCTTCTTGAACTCTGACATCAAGATCCTGTCCTTTCACTCGTGCTGTCAATCTTAACCTTTTCCTCTGGGAGCTCTCTGTAAATATGACGGAACCAATATAGGCCGCACCATTTGCTAGATTAACAGTGGTCAAGACTGACTCATTCCCCTTATGTATACATATCTGCTTGTTGAATTCCTCTTTGGTGAAGTCCGCTTGTCCTCGCTCAGTAAAGAATTCAGCATGGACTGCTAAAATCTCAATTTGCAATTTAGAAAGGACGCCCTGCGTGATTTGCCTATCATTTTCAAATACTGCTACCCTAGCATCTTTCTTATTCAGCCATTGTACTGGAGAACCAGTGTAAATAGGATCTTCTGGTCTGTCAACATCGACAAAGCGCAGTTTGACTCGAGTGTTGCCTCCAGTTTCAGGAAAACCTTCCGGTATCTGCCTAAATTTTCAAATAAGATGAGAGTGAGACAGTAACAGAAGGAAACTTGCCAGATTATGTAGAAAGAGAATACTTGGTTTGACAGTAAGTATCATGACATGAATCAAAAAACATATACGGTGGGAAAGATAAGATGGCAGAAACCTGGGAGGCTCAGAAATGTCATTAGGAAGCGAGGCTGCTTGTCGTCCCTGCATCTATTTCATGACATAGCAAAAAGGAGTTAGAATAGAGTGCATGCATGCAAATAAAGGCATATTACACAGATAAAGATCCAGATACTAACCTCTGTCTGTACAATTGGTCGAATTGGATCTTGTATGGATACCGTCAAAGATCTATTGGAGACAAAACAATACACAACAAGAGGTAAAAATAATGAATTAACCAAGGAAGCATTTATCCATCACATCCACAGCACTCGAATCCTAGAGCAATCTGAACTTGAAATGGTACTATGCTGGTTAAATCCTTGCAGATCCAAATATTTTATGTACGTGGTTATGATTAGTGAACAAAGAACAAAATTCATGATTTATTCACACTCCATGAATATAATTCGATAATCTGAAATTGAAATGGTACTATGCTTGTCATTTTGTCAAGTTTTCATTTCCAAAAATATAAGTTCTTATGTTGCCAAGATGCAATCTTGTGAAAGAAGACAAAAGGATGGCTGTTTATTTCTCATCAGAGGGTAAAAATTGCATTTCGCGGAAAGCAAGCAAACACTTGAGTTGTTACTGTACAACAAGATCCATGATCGAACTGTATATTGTCTGGATTACCATGAAAGATCTACTGGATACGAAATAATACACAGCCAGAGATAAAATCAATTAATCGAACGAAGGACACATTTATCCATGACGTCCGTAGTTGAATAGTCAATAAACAGACTACTAGAGAGTGAGACCATCTCCATATATTTTGAGCGTTATGATTACTGAAAGAAGAACAAATCCATGATTTATTTACTGACACACCATGAATATGACTTGATAACCTGAACCAGGAAAAGTAGTATGCCTGTCAAGTTTCCAAAAATATGAGTTGTTATGTTGCCAACAGCAATCTTGTCAGAAAGACCAAAGGATGGATGCTTATTCCTCATCAGAGGATAAAAAATGGCAGCTCCCAGAAAAGCATGCCAGCACTTGAGTTGCTACTTTCCTAAAAAATGTGCAGCTCCTTTATTCTTTCACACAGTACTAGTTAGTTTTAGGAGGGAATCTCAATAGTCAATATTCATGCTGATCCAAATATCCTAACATGGTAGTGGTACTACGTCAACTCTGACGTGGATAATGTGCTTGCAGAATGCAAAATAAGCATACCTAAAAGCACCAATCTGCCCCGTCAGTAGGTTGCGGAGCTGCTGAAGGAGCCTCTCCACGGAGCAAAGGCGCGAGGCGAGCAGCATGAGAAACACAAACAGTTTTGCCCTGTCGAGCTGCGCCTGGCGCACGACGAAAACAGATCGAGACCCACCAAACTTGTCAGTTATGGGAGTAAAATCGAATTGCGGGGGGAACAGGGAATCGCCTCACCTGCTGGCGAACCATCTGCCCGACGGTGGCCGCTCTGGCCCTCCTCCTCTCCCTGCGGCGCGGATCCGGGCGAAGCAACCGCGAATGGTGAGTTCAAATCAAGGAAGCAAGAGGAGGACCCGACCGAGTGCACGGCAAAAGAGGAGACCAACGGCTAGTTGGGGGAGGGGGAGGCACTCACAGCCGCATCACGAGGAGCACCGTCTGGCGCAGCCGCTTCCTCGGCGACCGCGGCGCCTCCTGCTCCGCCGCGACGGCCTCCAGCGGCCGCTTTTGCGCCGCCATCACGCGCTTGCTTTCGCGGGTGAGGCGCGGACACGGGGAGCTGCGGCGGTGGAATAGCTAGCTAGCAGTTCAGCAGCGGGTGGAGAGAAAATGGCGACGGCCGGTGGTAGCCGGGGGTGCTGGGGTTGGGGAAGCGCGTGGCACTGCGGCGGTGCGCGGGGTGGTGTGGACTGTGGATCCGTGTAGGGGAGTAGCTGATGGCGAATGGTCGTCGGGAAGATTATATATGGAGAGCCAATGGGCTCGCGCGAGCGGGCATGCCGCGTCAAGTGTCAAGTGCCCAGAGATTTCAACAGCTTCGGGCGCCTACGTACGTGCAGCCACGCGTTTTTAACCCACCCAACCTGGTCACCTTTCAGCTATGCTGCAACATCATTTCTCTACTAAAAATTGGCACGTATGATTCATATTATAAGGTAAAAAGAAGAAACAACCACTATACCTTAGAGCAACAACAACAACAACAACAACAACAACAACAACAAAGTAACGCGGTGCATCAAATTGCCCCCTGAATGTCCGAACTGAGTGGTTCGAGCACTTTTTGCCATCGAACGGGTATCTCAAACGTCCGCAGACCAGTTCAATTGCCGAAAATTCCACAAACCAAAGACAAACTTGGGGAAGGTTAGGGGGAAGTCCGGACAGTCCACTTTTCAGTAACAAAATATATTGGGAAGCTAGTTAGGAGTTTGGCTAAACGGGGTGTTTAGTTGGGATTAACTTTTGCTTTTGCATTTTGGTTTATAATTAAAAAAATGAATTTATTTAGGGACTTTTGGCTTGGTCTTTTGGCATACACTATCTTGTATCAGTATACAATGTAAAAGAAAAAAAAATTGACTAAAAAAAGCAGACAGTAAATCCATTGTAATCCACATTTTGCTGTACACCACATATGAAGAAGGTATATTGGTGAAAATGCATACACATATAGGCACTACACATTTATAGTACATGTACACAAATAATTTAGAATTGTTTTTAAGGTTTCAAAACAATGTTTACATTTAGAAAAACATCCATGCAGATCGAGATCTATTTGCCTTATTCGAGAAGATCTGTTCACGTAGATAGATGTAATGTGACATAGGGTCAATTCTTGTCGCCTGATTCCAGCGGTCTCCCTCACCTTCGATGACTAGTTTTAGCGTTGGTAGGCGGGTGAGATCATGGATCTTGGCGCCCATGTGGATTCTTGGTCTAGTTGTTAGGCTTTTGTATAGATCATGGATCTTGGCGCCCATGTGAGATTCTTGGTCTAGTTGTTAGGCTTTTGTATATTTGAGTCGTTGGTCTAAGCGGTGGAGGTGAAAATGCAATGGAATCAAGGGACTAAATGGAACACGTATATCCGGCCTTGTCCTTGTCACGTGGTTGCAGCGTCACCTAAAAATGCGTGAGGGTTAGTTTCCCTCAACTTGATACATTGGTTTGTATGAGCGAGTTGTCAACCGCAAATGATATGGGTCGCTCGTTGCGACCATTATCATAGCTATCACTTGGTAGCCGGTTTTTCTTTCTTTCTCGGTCGAAGTCGGGAGGTGCTATATATGGCGTTAAGCGACCATAAGAACCTAGCATCGCATACAACGGTTGGTGCTTTCCCATTTTTATCTTTCCCTGATTTTTCAAATCAGTTTTGTGAAGCTTCTAAATGCTTTAGATCAGGTTTTATTTTCTTTGCGTTTTCTCTATTGGTTTTTTTTCTTTTACTTCTTTCTTCTTTCCTCATTTTAATTTTCATGAACTCTTTTGAAAATTGCGAGGAATTTCAAATTCATTTCTTCAAATTTCTTGAAATTTTACAGATCTGCAAACAGTTTTTCAAATCTATGAACTATTTTTGAATCTATGAACATTTCTCAAGTGTCACAGACATTTTCCAAATTCATGAACATTTTTTAAGCCACAAAATTTTCAAATTCATGAACATTTATTTGATTTTGTTAACTTTATTGAATTCACGAACTGTTTTTTATTCATGAACGTTTTTGGTATTCAAGAACGTTCTTCAAATTTGTGAATATTTTTGGATCACTGATATTTTAAATAAGGGTTTTTATCATTTATGCCATCGGTTGTCTCCCACTACTCAGTTTTGCCACTAGGAATTTCAACTGCTCAAAAATGCCATCGTTGTGTTAGACATATGTTCAAAAATGCCAGTGGACACCATTATTGTGATCTCAAATCTCTTTTGCCATGTTATAATGATATAAATACCTATGAACCAGCATGCCAGCTATCCTTCTATCTTACTACAATAAAGTGTGGGGCCCACTTGATCCCAACGACGTTCTTATTTTTCTATAAAATTATTCGCTTGGTTACTCCGGATAAGTGAGGCCACACTTATCATTGTGAGATAGAGAGAACTGACATGTGAGTCTAGGCTTATTTTTGTTATATAACATGGTCAATGAGTTTGATGTGAAAATAACGATGTCTAATGGCATTTTTAAGAAAACATCTAACGGAACGATGGCATTTTTGAGCAAACATCTCACGAATCGATGTCATTTTTGAGTAGTTGTAACTTCTAATGGCAAAACTGAGTAGTGGGACACAACTAGTGGCAAAAATGATAAAAACCCTTTAAATAAAATAAATCAACCGAAAAAATTCCAGAATATATAAATTGATACAACAAATATTGAAAAAACTGAAAAGAGAGAAAAGTGGAAAATGAAATGTGCCTGCGAGCACTTCTGCCCAGTCTCTCCCCGTTCCTACCTGCTGGGCCTGGCCCATTTACCTGATCGTAGTGAGAGGCGCGTCACCACCGATTGCTCGTTACAAGCGATCCATACCGGTGTCCGTCGTCAAGTACCCATGTCGATGCGTCCGTTCATTACGACGCCAATGGTATAGTCAATAAGATGTTGCGATGGCGTTTTTGCCATAATCGCGAGGTTGAATCTCCTCCTCGAGCCTTCACATTCTTCTTCAGGGTCGACTGTTCGTGCTTCAGACAATCGTTGATAGTGTCTCGTGGCAACTTTATGCGACTTCTCGGCCGCAGTTACAATGACTCTCTAGCTCCCACAATGCGGAGCAGGTACTGCGTCGAGCTAGGCTCGCGACGTGTCATCGCCTTGTGCAGGTTGAAGAAGGTGACAAAGTGTCCTTGAGCTTGTTTCTACTTTTAATTTTCCCTCTAGTTGTTCCTGCAAGTCTTGAACTTAGTTAATATATATGGCTTCTCGCATTAGGAAATATAAACATGAAGGATACGGCCAAAGTACCTTTGACGTTTCTGGCTGTTGTAAGTGTACTCGATTGGTATTCAATCTATTACGATTCTTACCATTTCGCCATTGGCTTCTCCTCGTCTCCTACATTCCGTTCGAGGCATGAGAGACAGAACTGAAGAACCACACTCGGCTCAATTTTTCCCCTTCCATCTCGATCGTTCTCTTTTCTTTCATTTCTCTTAACTCAGTCTTCGGCCGCGCTATCCGAAAAGCTATTACTTCTCTCGTTTAACTGAAAGCATAAATTATGATCAATCCAATAATCTCTCCGATAACATCGATTGATGGCCCCTCTGTGAAAGACACGCACACACCACCATTGCTGCCTGGTCGTGTTCGTCCCAACCAACTGCAGCACTGCTGCTCCTGCGTCTAGAAACAAAATGCAGAGATCATTAACCATTAGTATATAATAACGAAATACATTAGTCTAGTAACAAACGGAGCTTTCCTGGCAAAGAGGGTGATTTGGAGTTTTGCGAACGAACTTCGCTTCGCGCTTCGTGGCTCTCGCGGAACGATTAATCAACAGCAACAATGGTGGCAGACGCAAAACCATGGAAGTTTAACTGAGCGAGGCACGCGCGAAAATGAAGAAGGGAAGATGGCGCGAATATATAGCCGGCCGCTCCATCTTAGCCCGAGACCGCCGCTAGAAGTCTTGGATGTGGATCGAGGAGCTAGCCGCGTGCGCATGGGGCCGGGCTGGCAAATTTCTTCGACGCTTCCGTCTGGTGCAGTAGCTGAACTCGGTGTCTGGATGTGGAAAGCGCGTGGGAGAAGGAGCGGAAGACTGGGCGTGCCGCGCGTCAACCGTGGCAGGACGGGGAGCTTTGCTCTTCCTTCTCCATCCAGTTTCCGTGGGTTTTCCGGGCATATGTTCTAGGCATTTCCGCCTGAGCTTGGGGATTCATAGTCATAGAGATCACCTAGAGCTCGAGCTAGTCTCCGAACCCTCCAACGAAGGAACAATCATCGGCCGGCCACTTTTTTCAGATATAAGTATGTGCGTTATTATTCCTGGAAAGTTGAAGGCAGCTTCGAGCATTCTTTTACGCTCGAGACCTTTCTTCACTAGCCTGGGCAAATTGTAGCACACGACTTCTCCGCCGTAGTAAAATATGAAGCTGAATGAGTTAGTTTTGAGCGATTATATTCCTACCTACTAATCATACAGAGACTTTACGCACCAGTTCAACCGGATGATGGTTGGCTAAACAAGGTGGGGGTGGTTGCAATCCAAAATAAAGTTGAGATACTTATTTTGAAATGAAGAAGTATCCCAACAGCCTCGACGTCAAAATAATGTTTAGAGAAATGAAATGACTCATATAAAATCCATCAAAACAGAGAAAATAATGTTCGGAACTTCTCTCAAGAAATAAACTGACAAATCAAAAAGATTGAACTCTGCGGCCAATTAATCATCAACATTCGGGCCTTAAGGCATCTCCAACGCCGATCCTCACCCGCATTTGTTTGGGCCGCGCTGCCCGCTCATGTTGTGACATGTAACGCGAGCCTGTATCGGTCCGCAGAGTGGGCCAGACGGACTTTTTCCCGCAAAGTGGTACCAATT